ATCAGAGTCAATTGTATTATAAATGAACTTTGGGTCTTTTTCGATCAAAGTCATCTAAATAATGATTAAAAAAGGATAAAAATTGCAAATATAATAATAAACTTTTAATCTATTTCAATATGATTTCAGTCCTAATTGTTTTGTACATTGATGCAAACGGATAAAAATTGGGTGAAGAAATTTTTCATTTATCACAAAGAAAAATCACTAAAAATCTTATGATTATAATCGATTTAATCTGATTTCAATCCTTTTTCACATGGGCAGACTTAGCTTGACTGAAAAGTTGAGCCTACCCTAAACTGAAACCGTTCCGCCGCCTTTGATAGTAGGATTTTCTTTATTTTTGATTTATGATCTTCTTCTTTCACTTTGCTTTTAATTTTAGATTTATCTTCATCTCTATTTATTACTAGATTTCTTTTGTGTCTGAGTAATTTTTTACAAAATATCTTTAAGTATTTATTTGAATATTATTTTACCTTATAGCTATCATCGATATAGAAATATATGCCATCTCTCGTTCTATATTTTTCCTTTCCTATTCATATATGCAACTAATCAGACGAGGGTGTCGTTCATCTGAAGACATACCCACAGATTTTATGTTTCAGACACTTTTCTGAGAAAAACTAAAAGTGTAGTTCGATAAAGAAAAATTTTCTCTATCGACTAGCAGTAATTTTGTATTAGGCCTCTAAAATTTTTTTTAAAAGTGTATTTGATATTGATTGGATTAACTCACTATGCTTTATCTGTACCCTAGAAAGAATTTGATTGGCAATTATTAAAACAATAATCGGGTGTGGGTGCTTGTTAGATGGGTGTAGTCAATAAAGCGAGTCATTTTTTTCTGTATGTATGATAAATAAGAGAATATGTATCGTTTCGTTTTGTTGCCAGATTTGGTTGTACTCGAAATTATGTCGTATTTAACACCTATGGAAAACTTATATTCATTTTTCGATGTTGACGATAAACTTCGTTGTAACAATTTACTTCGTGAACGTCGATATTCAGTTGATATTCCTCATATATCAATGTTTATGAAATCAAATATATTTCGTTATTTGTGTGCTAATGTCCTTCCACATATATCATGTCATACGGAATCATTAAAGATAAGCGTTGATTTTGTTGGTAGTCGTATTGTTTACGACCTGCCGTCTACTATTTTCTCCAATATAAGTTCGTTACATTTACATTCATTACAGGTTTGTTTATTTATTTGAGCATATGATACATAGTTCACAAGTTGGACAATATTTTTTTTGATTAACCTGCCATTTAGGTTTTTTCTTTTAAAATAATTTATTATATTTTTTTTTAATGTCAACTTATTGTAATAAGTGTACGATGAGAAAACTTTATTAATGTTCAGGAGATCACCGAAGACTGGTGTCAAGTGCATTATACTTCTACATAATTATTTTTATGTGTTAACGCTGTGAGTCCCAAAATATTTTTTTTGCTAGAGAGAGATGATAAGAAAGCATGTGTAGCTTTTTTGATAGAATCGTTATTCGATCCATTAGTCTTAACGATTTTCAGCAGTTATTGATTTCAATGAAATTGAACATAGTCGCTTAGCAAAATATTATTGAGCGAGGAACAGTATTCGGCGTTTCTAGAAAATAACAATGATCGATGTATTATTTATGTTCATTCAACTGTAATCAAATATATTTATCTTATTATTTAAAAGAAATGGCAGAACTTTAGCTATGATTTGTAATAGAACTCAGCAAATATGGAGTTTCCGAGTAAGATAAGTAGTTTGGAAACTCTATTTAACTTGTTTTCAACATAAATATCCAAGACATTGTAGTTATCTTGTATAAGATCAAGAGAAAGGAATAAAAGGGCTATTGGTTTGATTGTTGAAGAGCATACATAAATATGTACCTAGTATTAGTTTGATATGGAGCAGATTTTATTTAAATATCGAAGCATTCAATCGTCTAGTGTGAGTGCTGCGAATATTTTGTCCTTCTCTGATGTATAACAAACGAAACATTTTGACATCTATGAAATAATAATTGAAAATTAATTTTGATGTATTAATTAAATCATTATTTCAATTGAATTTTTTTGTTAAGGAAGAGTATCTGATTTATGTTCTTGAACAAGCAACTCAATTGAGTCATTTAACATTAAATGATATAAATAATACAAGCATTAGTCTTGTTTTTAACCGATATTTGCATCATCTTCAATCATTTACATGTGATAGTTCTCTTTCTTCACAAATGACATTCTCTTTGCATCCTTATATGTTATCAAGTTTTTCCGCTTTTCTTACACAATTATCTGATTTGCTATTGTTTATCGTACATATGCCTCAATTGAAGCATCTCAAAATAGATTTGTTCGATCACTGTAATGTTGGTGAAGTGGAGCGTATGCGATTGTTACAAATGATAAAATCTGTCGAAATGAACAGTTTGTCTAATATTCAAAGTTTTATGTTTATCAGCAAAATAAATAGCACACCTTGGTCAATATTTGTACGTCTTGTTCGATCAATGATTCAACTACGTACATTATTTTTTGATTATGTTGTACGATGGGCACCATCACCTGATGATCTTTATCGATACATTAAAATAGACGACGGAAACTGGAACTCATCAGCAGCAGATTATCTAGCAAATGCCTTACAATTGCTTAATAAATTAATACACGTCTCTTTTCGCCTTTTCATCATTGACTGTTATGAAAAACCAAATGAAAACAGGTAAGACATCATGTTTTATCAAAGTGCTTGTATCCAGTGGTCAGAGATCATCAGGTCCAACTTTTTTTGTGGATCCAGACTCGATGTTGTAAAATTCCTAGGACCTGATCCAGTGTTTTGAAGTTTTCAGGTCTCGGTCCAGAAAACTTTTCTCATTGGAAATGGTCAGTAGCTTCGAAGATATTGCATATTATTCTTCAATTATTCGTGTTCTGTCACTGACATATTTCAGATGGTCTATCTTAGAGTCCTTTGATGCAACTTTTTTCGATTCAGTATCGAGCTTGAACTCGGCCATTAGAAATCTTTGTACCCGAACCCGATCGAATTCGGGTCCTATCCGATGATCTCTACCAGTGACGACTTTGGAACACATACGAGGGCAGATATATGAAACGGACCTCAGTTACATTATTCACGATAGATGAATAGAGGATATGATATCATTTTTCGATTTAAAAAACGAAAGTGAACAATGCCATTTCTTTTCTGCCAAAATGTTTTATGGTTTTGCCTTAAAGTCAAGTTAACAAAATTGACTTGTAGTTGTATTGTGAGGATTTATTTCGACATATCTTTGAATTTATTTTTCAATCTTTACTCATACTTTTCAATGAGATCGATAGAAATATGTTTTTGATCAAATATGTGGAAGTATCCTGAATACTCGTTAAAGAATCGATTAAGTAAGATTGACGTAATTTTAATAGGAAAAGGCGACAGATTTTGGAAGCAGGAAAACGAACTTGTCTACCTTCGTCCTTTGACAAGTTTTAAGAGTTAGAAAATCATGAAAAATACTTTTCCATTATAATATTAGGCGCAGGATGTTCATGTTTTCTTGAACTGTAAATAATTGCATCTACGTTATAAAGGACAATTATAACGACTAAATGGTCAATATATAATAAGTGATTAAAACAAACAATATCTGTGCTTTTTTTAGGTGGAAGAGTTCTTTTTGGCCAAAAACGAAATGTAGTTTTGATCCAATATCGAAATACTCATTTTTTTTACACACTTCCATGGCCTAAACAATATACTTATAATCTTCAACTTTATGATGAAATAGATTCTATAAAAAGTGATCATTCAATTAAAAAATCTATAATTATACGCGATAAACATGAATATAATATTGGCGAATTTGCTCGTTTGTCTCGATGTTTTCCAAAAGTAAGTGAGTATATTCTTGTCTATTGTCTATATTTAGATGCATGGATTCACACTAAAACTGTAACAACGGAAGTAGCTAAAGAAAAACTATTGGTATTCGATAGAGAAAACCGAATTAGAAAAGACCTCAAATATCTAATCGAATTTTTTCTCGAAACATACATTAATATATACAATCTATTGATAAGCAATTTTGTTATTCACCAGTCAAATTTATTGTACTTAAGCTATTCAAATGGGAACTATGTGCTTGGATTTATAAGTCAGATTAGCGCAAGCAAATAAATAAATGAGAAAAAATCAAAATGTAAAAAGAAATGTGTAAGTATATTGAGCAATACATTTTGTTGAATATTTCAGGTAGAAGTTCTCGAAATATGGGCGTGGTCTTCGACTTCATCGTCTCTATTTCAAGGTGTTCCTCAATCACTTATGCATTGTTGGTGTCTTTTGACTTCTTTAACAACATCAGGAATATATCTTTCACGTATATTACCCTTTTTACCAAAACTTCGTGTAGTAACTATATACGGTGGTATTAACCAATTAACTGCTTTGGCTACATATCGATCGTCTACACTCATTCAACTAAATGTTTTGAGCTGGATTGATGCTAGTGTCGATATTTTAGATGAAACCTACTTTCCAAATCTTCAATTCTTATCAATAAATCTCTACCAACAAACAACTACTGGTGAAATTATACGTATAGAACGAACGATAGAACAAAGTTTTGCTCATTTGCCAAATTTAATCAGTCTTCATTATTATAGTTTAATGACTAATTATGATTTCACTCAAACTATCAAACCAAATCGATACTCATGTTTTTTTAATGTTCATATAGAAAAAACACGAATAATTATTTGGAAGTAAATATGTTTTGTTTTGTTTTTCTGAATAAAACTTTCAAAAGAGAAAATCCGTAGAGGATGAATGCATTTTTTCAGCCAGAAGGGAATTATTAGTTGTAGAAAACAGGTTAAAAAAATATATATTATTTTTCGTCGTTGTAGTACACTTATCTGTGTAACTTAAATGAAATAGGGGATGTGGGTGTATTGTTGTTCAAGATGATAGAAAATATAGAAAATGATCATTTTCGTCAAATGATTTAACAATCCAGTACATCAAGCAAATCCAAGTATGAATCAGATGGCGGGCCTTTTGGAAGGTTATTTTGATAACGTTGATATCTCCCGAATCACCTTTCAGTTGTCAGATGTGAACATACACCGAACATTGATATACAAGATTCATCATAATTCAGCATAAGGTATTTTTGACAATATTCTGTGTATATGATACATAACAGATAGAAGATCGACTTTTTTGCCGATCCGTGTCATGACATTTTTATTCCACTTGCTGACTTATATTAATGCTGAAAAATGTCTCTATTTCTAAATTATATAGTGGAAAAGAAAAGTATACAATATATCAGCACTGCCTATGAATGATCCTTTAGTTAGGATCAGAGACCGTCACAGGGCACTTTTTTTTGCCCTGTCCTGTCCTGTTGCCCTGTCCCGCCCTGACAATAGCACATATAATTTTCTTTTGCCCTGACCTGCCCTCAGAACAGGACCGGGCAGGGCAGGGCGCCCTGAGGGCATATGAATTGAACCCGACTACGGGATGGGTTGATAATTTAATGAAAAATTTTGTGTATTTTTATGCTTAGTACAGATATCTTTTTCAGATAACGTCAAAAGAATATTATCCAGACAAAAAAACAATTATAAATCCGTTTAAATTCGAGGAAAACGATACTATTTTTATCCGATTCTAATCTGATTATTAGACTGTCTTAATTTTTTCTAATTTTCAAGATTATTTTCAAATCTTTCTAATC